ATGTCTATGTGTGATTAAATTAGGAATTATGTCTCACATGATTCATATGGGTTAATTCTTCCATTGATTCTCTATTTTAATTACATGTTGTCTTATGTGTGATTATTTGGGGAATTGATCTCTACACTAGTTTTTCTATATTAATTGCATGTCTATGTGTGGTTGATTGAGAATCTAGTGATGGCTAGACATTAGTGCTTAATGGAATGCTCTTGTTGTCTCTTAATGGTTCATACTTATTCCTTGATGGATTGTGCCTCTCCTTTAGTTTATTTTCATGCTAGTAGTGTATTTGTAGTGTAGTGTTAGATGGGGAGACAATTCATGCTTGTTCTTTGATGTTCTATGTTTTTGAATGCAAGAAGCATATGCTCTAATATTGTGGTGTAATGGAATTTTGAGCTTAATGAAGGATTAATGACTTGATTTGATATTTTGTTCTCTTCACATGTTGTCTAGACAATATATTCCTCTTCCAATAGATATATTGTAGCCTTTCACATGTTGTTTAGACATTATACACTTGTTGAGTCACCTTTGCTAGTCGAACCAATTTTGTTCACAATAATGTATTCCCCATTAATGGAAAGCAAGTGGTTAATTACACAAGCTTAGTGGTGATTCCAACACCCTAAGTCTTCTCTTCTCATCTCTTAAATCCCTATCTCTACTTAGTTTTATTTTTATTGCATTTTAATTAATTCTTTTCTAGAAGTAATCAACCAACCCAACTCTCTTTTGCAATCATTTGGTACGCTAGAGTCGAAGTTGAAATTCCAACACGTATAATCCCTTGGGACGATCCCTACTCACTCTTGCTACGTTAGTAGTGGTGTTTGTAGTGGTTTTTATAAATTTAAATTTGACATAAAAGGCTTTTCTTGAACCACACATTCACTACATTTAGTTTGGCGTATTGGAACAGCCGTCGTCAGATATGAGAGAGAGGAAAATATATAAAATACTTTTGGGGAAAAGAAATTCAAGCTTTTGGGGGGAAATTTCAATTTCGGTCAAACTAAATTGAATAAAATATATTGTATAAAAATAGTTCATAAGTAACATGTATTATACAGAGTCTAGTAAATACCATTTTAACTTAAGATGTCATGTCAGCATTTAACCCCTCCATGGACAACCTTCAGTGAGAGGTGCATTTGAGAGGATTTTTGCCCTTGAGATATAATGTTGCATGTTAGTACTATCAAATAGCTTAAGTTTGTGGGTCGGATCACGAAACACTTGACCCATGACAAATGGTATCAAAGTAAACCCAATTCTTAATCCAGTGTTATGCCACCACACAGAAGTGTTCAGGGTCAGGTATCGAGTCTTCCTTAGATAGGAAAGACGGGCAAGCATGGGGACCAACCGCTTCACGTTGGATCCAAACCGAAAGGGTCTTGGACATATATAAAAGTAGGGCTGCAAATAAGCCGAGTTGTGCCAAGCCGAGCTTTAGTTTGCTTGGGCTTGGCTTGCCTAGGCCATAGAGCTGCTCCGGCCCGGTTCGGGCTTGGGCGAGCTTAGTTTAGCTAGTTCGAGCTCGTATATGTGCATATATATATATATATATATATATATATATATATATATATATGTAATATTCCTAATTTTAAAAGGATAGTTTCAGTATTTTAATTAAAGATTTTATTACATTTTCATTGAATTATTTGCTTATTTGCTTATTGGTTAATTGTGTATTTATTTAAATTAATTGTTTAATTGTAATTGTGTATTTATTTAAATTCATTGTTTAATTTTTTATTTAATTTAATTATTTGGTTAATTGTTGATTTAATTGACTTGTTTTATTTAATAGCTTGTATGATTTATTTGTTTTAATTCTGTGTATGCTTAGGTGGACTTAATTGGTTTATAATTTATATGTGTCATATATAGTTTAGGTTTAGGGTTTTTCTTTTATGAAGTTATGTTAGCCGACTTATAATTAGGTTGGAATTAGAAGTAGGTTTTACAGAAACCTACATATATATAAGTTAGGTGTTTGCTAAGGGTTTTAGAACCCTATTCACGTACTATGAGGCAGAGAGAAATAGAGAGGGATTTGAGAGGAAAAGAGAGAGAAACTTGAGAAAAACATAGAGAGGCTCAAGGAGGAAAGAAAGGGTGTTGCTCGTGGGTTGAACCAAGAGGCAATAGAGGAGGAGAACAGTCTTGGGATTTGTTGGAACTCAGAGACGGTGGTTTAATGCTTCAAAACTGAAACCGAAGGCAAGTTTTATTCTAACTCCTTCTTTTAAACCTGTGTTCTGTGTATGCTATATAGTCTCCAGGAATTAATTCCAACTTTAAAACGGATGTTTGATGCATGTTATATCAGACTGCAAACTATTTTATGTTTAATTAACTGAAATTGTTTTTCTTGCATAAACTGTTTCGATTATATTTTAAATTTTTGTCAAGCAATTTGTTTTGGAATTTGAGGAGTTTCTAGGACTTTTAGGACTTAAATTGGATCCTAAAAACTTTTTTAAAAAATGGGACAGAGGACTTGAACTTTACCGGAAGCGAAGAAGAGGAACAGAGGAAAAGTAGCACGGCTCTCAGGGAGAGAGCCGGCTCCCTAATGGAGGGAGCCGGCTCCCTATGTGAGAGAGTAGGCTCTCCATGAGGGAGAGCCGGCTCCAGAGGTGTGAGAGCCGGCTGCCGGCTCCCTTGCTGTAACACTCGTATGGGTGCATTTTTGGGGTTTTCTGATGATAGGGGGCTAAAATATAATTCTGAAACTTGTTTGGGGGTTTTTAAATAATGTATAGAACATACTTAAGACCCAGGAATGTTGGTTTATACTGTGGTAATGGAATTCATGAAATTTAAATACTAATTTTCATGTTGTCACGGAATAAGTAAGTTTTATTGCTAGTGATTGTTTTAGCAAATTAAACGGACTAATAGGAATATATTTTTGGAATTTGAATGTTATGTGCTCAATTTATACTTCTGAGTATCGTTATATCATGTTATGGGTTCATAATTGAGGATTAAATGGACATCATGAAAATTCATACATTAATTTGCATGCTGTTAAGGATTGTGGAAGATTTAATTGCTAGTTTTGTTTTAGCAAATTAAATGGACTAGTATGAAATTATTTTTGGGATTTTGGTATAATGTGCTCAGTTTATATTTTTGATTATCATTATAACAAGCCATGGATTTTAATTGATAAACGATTATGATTTCTGTTATGTTAATTATATGGATATGGATAGTTTAAATTGCTTATCATTACTCTAGCAGTTTAAAAGGAGGTTATACGACTGTAATCATATACTGGATGCATAATAGGTTCTTGTATATATCTGACTTCTATTATGTTTGTCTCTGGATGTATTTGATGTTCAAATGAGTGTGCATCATTTTATGGATTATATGCATTATATGCACCGGTATGGGACGGTGATATATTAGGGATAGATTAGATCAAAACGTTAATTCTTACCTATTCATACATACGGAATGGATTAATTAAAACAGTTAAATCCTACATGGATTCATGTTTTGTCAACTAAAACAGTTAAACGACATATCGGATGTTTGTTTTATATTTTGTATTAGGAAGGATTTATATATATGATTATGATACCATGATATGAGCTTGAGTCTCAGGATCATGATTATGGTGCATATATCGCCTAGGATGGATAACTAGACCTAGTTGTTGTTCCATGGTAGGTGTAGGTATACATGACCACGTTACGTGCGATTTGCATGTTACCTTCTACTCAAGTTGAGACAGAACTGTGGGCTAGTGAACGTCCTATAGTGTGTATCTATATCTATATGGACTACTTAGTTATTGTTGAGCTATTTAGGATGTATCTGCGTATCGGGTTTCTGTATGGATTGTAATAGGATTGAACTTGCATGTGGGTCTGACCCACTCTTATATTTTTCTAGGTGTTCGTCAGTTCCAGGTTTAGAGCTTGATCATGCTGAATAAATACAGTCACTCATTCCTCCGACTACATATGACTGCTTTCTATGTTTAGCTTTGGATTTTATTTCAGTTGTTTCCTTTTCAGTTTGGGATTTTAATAGGGGTCCACAAGACGGATTCCCGAGTTGTTTAATTAATGGAGGTTTTTGATTATTAGATTTCAATTATATAATTTTGAGAATTTTTTAATTTAGAATTCTTTCAGCTTTATTATTTTATTCTTATTTCATTTTTGTATTCCGTGCTTATTTACATATTAATTGTCTGGTATCCTTCGGATCTGTGCTCGGACTTGATCACCCGTGACTTTAGAATCGAGGGGTATCACAATATCTATATTATATCAACCATTTTTGGATACAAAAACCGCATTAACACCTTCGAATCAACATTCAAGTTCAAATCAATACCTCATCTCCTCTAGCCTTCATAGTCTCTTTCACCAGATTCATCAACAACATTATAGAGAGAATATTAAGTTATAGAGAGAAATAGAGAAGGAGATAGAGAGAAACCTAACTTTAATGTCGCCTAAGGAGTAGAACATTTGTGTATCGAAAGGATTTTCGTTGCAGATGAGGATTTTGGTTACAGTGCTAGTGGGGTTGGAGAAACCTGTAGCACGACTTTAGGGTTTGTATATAACCTTTAAGATATTGTAAACTTAATCTAATGGCCAAGATGAATCTATAATTTGGGTTAGTGGGCTGGACTTTGCTTGTTTAATGGGCTTCCAAATACCAAAATTATAATTTGGCTACATAATACACACACACACTAAATGATTTGGGCTGATTTTTTTATATATGGGTTAAGTTTTAAAATATATATATATACACACTAAATGATTTGGGCTGATTTTTTATAAATGGGTTAAGTTTTAAAATATAGTAAATATATATATATAAATAAACCTATTCACGAGCTGACGAGCAAAGCTTAACATTCTCGGCTCGTTTATTAAACAAACGAGTCCGAGCTCCGTTCATTTACGGTACTCTATAAAAAGTGGGGTGGGAAAAGCTCACAATTTTTATCCACGTGTCAATATTTGATTACGGTCTTATGCATCCAGGAGACCACGGTTACCCTAACCTAAATATTCTTAAAACAAGCAAGAGAGCCCAAATGGTCCTCTAGGGTTTTAGAGAAACCTGCAATTCCACTTCAGTAATGGCGTTCTGGGGTAAGTTAGTTTTGCATCAGAAGTTCTATTTTCTTGCATTTTCTTACACACGATTCTCAGCAGCCAAACACAGAGTTATTAATTTGTTTTCATCAATATATGTATATATATCCTTGTGATTTTTTTATCAGGAATAGTATTAGAACCGGACAGACCGTACATTTATTTGCACAATGGGGAAAGAGGAAGGCTTCGCATATCTCAGGTTTGTTTACACGGCTCAAAACAATTCATATATGCGTGTGTATGTATAGAGAGAGATTGTTTTAAGGTTTTGACAGTTTTCTAGATTTGATGTTTTTATTTGAATCATTTATTTTTATATCTCAAAGTTAGTATAATATAGGTCGTAAAAATTTAATATTGGATTTGCTGGGACAAGGTTTTGTTGATTGGAGTTGAGTTATTTGATACTGTTTATTTTAGTTGTCTTTGTAAATATTGAGTGTTTGATATTGTTCATTTTTTTATAAAAAAAATTGGCGTTATAAGTATGTTTCAAGGATTTTTTGGAACTTGGCGGTGAGGATAATTTGTGGACCCAGAAATTGATCTAAAAGTTCAGTAGTGGTTAAGCTATTAAGCACTTCTTTATTGAAGTTACTTGAATTTTCATTAAGGAAGTACTTATCAGGGTCTATTCATCTCTTTTACGTGTGATATGATCATTTCAGGTCAGAAATTATGTTTATATGATCACTACTCCTGAAAATTAGAAATTTGATGATGGCCGCATATTTAAGATTTTATTTTTTTATGCAGTTGGAAATTTAGATCATTTGAATTTAATGGAATTTTGGTTTTTAATTTATTTTAGGAGTTTTGAAATTTACTCAGTTTTGCTATATCTATTCAGAATTTTTGAAATTGGACCTGGGTTGGTATGCTTGACATTCGGTACCTTGTGATGATACAGGCAATACTAGACGCTGGCAGTCGTTCATCAACAGAGAGGAGCATGGTTGAATGTTATGTAGAAGATAGGGAACCAGTATACATATGTTCGTTGGAGCCAAAAAGAACTGTGACATGCCCATTGAATCTTGAGTTTGATGAGCATAAATTAGTAAGGTTCAAACTTATTGGCCCTGGCAGCGTTCATCTATCTGGTTTCTTTTCTGGTGAAAGTAAATATACTTTTACAATACCTGAATAGTATCCTATTTTTTTTTTTTTTAAGCAGTAATTTTTTTTTTTTGGTTCAACTGGTTTATCACTCTTGTTATTCTTTATAAATTTAATCTTAGACTTCTTTATAAATGTCCATGTAATTCTGTGATTGTGTTTGTAATCTGTTTTATGCTATTTTATATGTCCTTAACTATGATGTGAAGTGAGACTGATAGCAATGGATCGAATGACTATGATACTGAAGATAAACACGGGGATGGCGTTATTGATGGTGATCTCGACATGTTCCCTTCCTCACCTGTACCTGACGATGGAGGTATAGTTCTTCAAATTTATATGCATTTCACATGATTTCAAACAGCATACAAATATAGGGTTCTGTGCTGTATCTTATACAAATTTTATCCTTCTAATGAGATATTATGTGGGACGGTACCAAGTTGAATTTGTTATTTACATGATATTGCTTACTGGAAAATTTTGTCACTATTTGTTGTACCCTTTGTTTGAGTTCCTTGCATACTTACAACTTGTGAGAGAAATCTAGATTAGGCATCAGGAAAAATTAAGTTTGTTGAAGATTTCGGCCCAAGTAGTCAACTGACTTCACTAGAGTTTGGTTTTTTATTGGGAAAATTATGTAAGAGCTCAGCAATTATAGCTCCTTTTATTATTATTTTTTTGTCATATTTTTTAAAGAAAGTATGAATATTATCTTTACAATTGTTTTTACTACCACTATAGGGGTGACAATCCATGTTGTTGTGTCGTTTCACGGCATGGGAATCATGTTATATATATGGGTTGACACGAACATGGCACGATTTTTAAACATGTAACTCGACATGACCCATGTAACCTGATTAATAAATGGGTCAAAACTTGACATGACACAACAAGACATACTTAATTAAAATTTTAGTTAAGCGGATCATTTACAACACGAGCGTGACATGTTTAGTTAAACGGGTCATTTCTAACATGAACATGACACGGGTCAAACATGGCTTCGAGATGTTTAATTACTGTCTCAATTCGGGCCGACATGATTATGACCCGAACACGAGTAAACCAACCCTAACCCCTCTTATCACATGTTGTGTTAAAGTTGTGTTAGTGTGTCGTGTCAAATATTGCCACCCCTACTACTATTAAGTCTGTTATTATTACTACTGTTATTATTACTAATATTATTTAAAAAAATCTGAATGAATAACCAAAAAGTTTCTGCTGATGCTAAATTTGGTGAATATAAGAGTGCATGGCAAGAAAATTTTGAAAATTGCTTTGAGTGAAATTGGTGTGTTTATATTAAAGTACCCCCACCACTATTGACTTTATGAACTTTTTTATTATAATCATAAAATTGAATGTTTACATTGCAAGCATCAGTGCATCACTTTTACTAAATTTCTGCTGTCTACCATATATGTTCTCTCAATTCAAAAGAATTTTTGAATTTTTATTGGGTCCTCATTGTCAGCATCTAACTTCTACTCTTTTTAGCTAATGAAATTTTGTTGGTTCCTATTAGCTGTAACCAAGGAGATACCGAATGATGAGAAACCTTCTAATGAGAATGGTATATCTAAACAACCAAAGAAGAAACATCAGTTAAGTGCCTCTGTTAAAGGCAACTCTCAAAGACAAAATGTTGTCAGGAGTGGTACTGGTGTCCCAGTCTTGGAAAGTGAAGATGAAGATGGTTTTCCAATATCTTCCCCCCGTAAGAGCAATGCTGATGTTCTGAATGCTGAAGGAAAAGAAACAGAAATGGAAGATGACAAAGAAGATGAGGAACCCAAGCAAAACAAAGCAAAAGATGATCCTTGTAGTCTTAAAAGCCTAAAAAGAAAAGTTGATGCCGTTGTTCGAAATCGCGAAGAAGCAAGGTGATAGATCTACACACACTATTTAATGGGAATTTGAAACAAGTGACTACATATTTGTTGCTTGATGCTACATATTCATTTTTAGTTGTTTCTTGTCTGTACTTGTATGCACGGAGCTCTATTCCCTGGTTGGGTTAACCTTGAGAATGCGTAGTTCAATTTCTTTCATTTGTCTATCTTGATTTATTCTCCTTTCATTTCTTGGAAGCAGGGAAACTGTCCAACTTGTTGATTCTTCACTTGCAACAACTGAAGAAATTGTTGAAAACAGTATTAAGAGAAAGAAGAAGAATAAAAAGAAGAAACTAGAAGGTCGAGAGGAATATGATACACAGACTGAGGTGGCGGCTAGTTTGGATGTTGATCAGGCTTTACCAATTGGAAAGGAACATGATGAGAAGCTAACCACTCAGAAGTGAGTTCTGCCATCCCCCCTTTTAGATTCCTAGAGATAATAATAATTAAAAAAAAAACCAAAATGTTATAGTTACAAATGATGAGAATCTACTCTCTGACCTTACTTACCATCCCATTAATAACAATCCAATTAACTTATTACAGCAATATGAAGTCAACCACATTATCTTTTCAATATTCTCTCCATTCTACTAGTCCCTTTTCAGAATAAATTGCAGCCCCCCTTACTCCTCTGTGTGCTTGTCTACTGTGGGTAAATCTTCCGCAAGGTTGACAGCCTGAGAGTTGATGTAAGGACGACATTGTTTGGAAGATGAAAATATTGGCCTTCCTCACTGCCCTACACACTCAGGCAGGAAATCATTTATAAGCTTTTAGGTGTCTGGAACTTCATGGTCCCCTATGTATGCTTTTTAGACTTTGCAAAAGCATATGACTTAGCTATACCTAACACATCCTTTAAAAAAAGGAGAAGAACACCTCTTAACATTTAAAAGTGGAATAAGTAAAATACAAATTATTGCTTGTATAGAAGAAGGGAATGGACCTCATGTAAAATGATCTTGGAGAGAGCCTCACAAACCAACACAGCATACTAATTTTAGACACATTAATTAAAGGGGTTAAAATATAGAAAAGCGAAAAAAGGACATAAAAACATTAAGTGGAAACAACTAAAGGGAAGTAAGGCAACAATGTTTAAAGATCAAATACTGCTGCGTTTGGTGTGCATGAATGGAATGGAATGGAATGCCCATTCCAACCTTTCCTTTGTTTGGTATGCAATTTAAAGTGGGAATGGCCATTTCATTGGAATGAAAATCCATTTCACAACTAAACCTATGGAATGACCATTCCATTCCCAAGTAATTTTTTTAAAAAATCAACTTCCCAAAAACCCTCATGTTCTAAGTCCAAAAACCACCACTACCTTCCACCACCACGACCACCGCCTTTTACCACCTCCACCACCACCACCACCACCAACTTTCACCACTGCCTACCACTTTACACCATCATCACCACTGACACCGCCTTTCTTTGTTGCAGTCACCACCACTCACTGCCATCGCTTTTCACCCCCGCCACGACCTTCCACCACCACCACTGCCACCGCCTTTTACCACAACCACCACCTTCCGCCACCAATGCCTTATACCACCGCAACCTTCCACCACCGTCTTTCTCCACCCTCACCAAGCTTACACCACCATAACCGCCACCCCCTTCTACCACCACCACCGCCTTCCGCCACCACTGTCACCGCTTTTCACCACCGCTGCCGCCGTCTTCCACCACCACCATCAACACCATTCACCACCATTGCCTTCCACCACCACCGTCACCGCCTTTCACCACCACCACCTTCCACCGCCTTTCACCACCACCATCGTCACCGCCTTCCACCACCACCACCGTCACCGCCTTCCACCACCACTGCCTTCCACCACCCCCGCCACTGCCTTCCACCACCACCGCCACAACCTTCCACTACTGTCACAGCCTTCCACTACTACCACCACCACCTTCCACCACCGCCACCTCCACCTCCACTTTCTTCCACCACCACCACAGTCACCTCCATTGGCTTCTACCACCTCCACCTACACCACTATCTCCTTCCACCACCACACTACTACCATCGCCTTACACCAACACCATTGTTGTCTTCCACCACTACCGCCGTCTTCCACCACCACCACCACCACCACCACCACCACTACCGCTTTCCACCTCCACCACCATCCACTACCGCCACTGTTACCATTTATTTTAAAAAAATTATAGAAGAATGTTATTTTGTTAATTTAATTTATTTGTTACTAAAAGGGATATTTTGAAGAATTCAATTTGAAATTTATTCTATTCTAAATTCTAAGTTGGTCCAACCAAACAATAGAATGGTTATTATCAGTCCATTCCTACACATTTCATATTTACAACCAAACAATAGAATGAGAATGGCCATTTTATTCCATTCCCATTCTCATTCCATTCTCACTTGCATTCCATTCCATTCCATTCCTGCACGCCAAACGCAGCATAAAGGAAAAGCAATGGGATTGGAATAATGATGTAAATAACTTGTGTTTCAAAATGGCAAATTATATTAGGAATAAGGTGAAAGAAGTTTTGGGCAAGACTAAAGGTGAGAAATTCATTAAGGGGACATGGTGGTGGAGTAAGTGCAACAAATAATTGAACAAAACAGGAAAAAGGTTTAAAGCATGGCAAAAAGTAAGCTACAAGAAGACTTGGACGAAAAAACTCAAATTTGAAGCATAGAGGATAGTAAGTAAAGCTAAACAAAACTCATTAAATGTCCTATATGAAAAACTAGGTGGAAAAGACGACGAAAAATGTATTTATAAATTAGCAAAGTATCGAGATAGATCAACTAACGACTTGAATCATATTAGTTGTATTAAGGATATAGGTAACACAATACTGGTCAAAGAAAGTGATACTTGAACTAGATAGAAGAATTATTTTCAAAATCTATTAAACGAGGAATACCCTAGAGAAGAAGTAGAAAGAAATGAATTTAACATGGGAATAACAAATAAAATCACCAATGAGGAGGTCGACGACACACTTAAGAAGATGGGGAGTAATAAAGCGGTAGGTCCGGATAATTTACCCATGGAAGCTTGGCGAATGTTAGGCATGTATGAATCGAGTGGCTGACAAAGTTGTTTAACAACATCCTAAAATAAGGCATGATGCCAAATGAGCGGTGAAAAAGCACAATGGTACCAATTTACAAAAATAAAGTGGATATACAAAATTGTTGCAACTATAGAGGAATTAAATTAATGAGTGACACAATGAAAATATAGGAAAGGGTAATAGAACAAAGACTAAGGAAAGAATCCACGGTATCCGATAACCAATTCGGATTCAGGCCAGGGAGATAAACAATGGAAGCTATTACCTATCAAAAAAAAAAAAAAAAATGGAAGCTATTTACCTACTTGGACAATTAGTTGAAGAATGTAGGAGTAAGCAACAAGATTTACATATAGTTTTTATAGATTTAGAAAAAGTGTATGATAAGGTCCCAAGAGATAATTTGGTAGGCCCTACAAAGAAAACAAATTCCCTTACAAATGATAAAAAGGTATCCAAGATATCTATCTAAATACACAAACCAAAGTTCATACCACATGTCGTGACGCTAGTGAGTTTCCCATAAACGTAGGATTGCACCAAGGATCGATATTAAGTCCATATTTATTTGCAATAATCTTAGATTAGATTAAAAAAGAATTCCAAAATGAGATCCCAGGATGCATGATGTTTGCCGATGATATCTAAAGAGTACTTAGCATTCAAAATTTCAAGCTAAAAGTGTAGAGAAAGAATCGAAAAAATTGTGAATTAGTCGAACTAAAATCGAGTATAGAGAGTGTAAATTCAATAAAAATTTGGACATTGATAATGTAACGATAACACTTCAAAATTAGAAAATTACTCAACAACCACTTTTGTTATTTAGGATCAATAATATAAAAGGATGGAGAGATAGATAGTGATATAACTAGTAGAATTGGAGCTGGTTGGACAAAATGGGGACAAGTTAGTTGGATTTTATGCGATAAAAGAATCACGCATAGGCTAAAAGGAAAATTCTATAGGACTGTTATTAAATCTGCTATGTTGTATGGATCTATAGGACTGTTATTAAATCTGCTATCTTTTTTTTTTTTTTCCTTCCCCTGTGACCGACTTTGCTTATTTCTTTTGTTTGGTAGAAGTATTATAGTCAAGTTGAACATGATGTATAATGATGTTTGACTTAGTTACATGGTTTTTTGTTTGTTTGTTTGTTTGTAAAATATGTGTTCAGAAGCATTGATGTTGATGTTGACTCAACTCCTGAAGAAAATCCCCCTGAGAAGAAGAAAAAGAAGAAAACGGGAAAGAGCAAGAAACAGGAGAGTGGAGTAAATGCAAATATGGAGCAAACTATTACAGGTGAGAATGGATCCACAATGGAGATAGAGGGGAACACTGAAGCCAAGCCATTTCAAGTAAGAACATTTCCAAACGGATTGGTTATTGAGGAGCTAGCAATGGGTAAACCAGATGGAATAAGAGCTAATCTTGGGAAAAAGGTGATTTTTCTATGTTCATTAAGTTGAATATTGCATGAATTTTTCAGTTGTAGCTAGGATGGAGTTCATAAATATATTAAAGGCCCTTAATAGTTTTAGTATATGTCGTGTTTATTAATCACAGCCTCCTTCTTGTCTTGTTCCAAACATATGAAACACTATATTTTGGAAATCTTCTTACAGGGACATAGATATTCGCGTAGCTCAATGCATTTGTCTTTTTTACGATATAATTTATATCCTCAATTGTGGACAAATTGTGCACTTTAATAAACTGGCTTCTTTGATTTGTCATCTCAGAGTTGAAGAAAAACATATCCATGCTAAAATGACCACAACTTTTTTTCTTGCTAAGTAAGATTTCATTAACGACGCTCAAGAGGGGAGAGCTCCCAAAGAATTAATGACCACAACTTAAACACCAGCTATAGCATCTATGGAAATACTACCTCTACCAACCACATCTAGAGTATGCAGCATACCTCTTTCTCATTTGTGTATCATCGTGATCCATGTTCTAGGTAATATTTTGGCTCCATCCCTACCCCCCATCTCCCTGACTGAAAAACGATGCTGTAAAAAAGATAAAAAAAAAAAAAAAAAATTAGATATCCATGTGATATATTTCTCTCTCTCTCTCTATTTTCCCTAAACAAACATTTTATTAACAAAACAAAAGAACAAAGGAGTAGGGATGCAGAAGCAAGCCACCCTAAAACAACAAGACTAAGAAACCCCATTTCCAGGAGTGGCAGTAAAAAATAACAAAGAAAAGAATCCTGTAAAAGGATTAACAGTGCAAAATGACAAGACACACAGCCCATTGACAAGATACCAACTCCTGCAACTATAACTAACACAAAACCAGAACTCAAATGGTGAACAGTCCCACCAATTCCTGCAGATGCATGCCCAGAGAATCAGCCACATTCCAAATGATTGTCTAGTAAGTTGAGTAGTGTTAACCACCACTTCGTCATGTAATTTTTTATTCCTAGAACACCATAGCTGCCAAATAGTGAAAGTGAAAATTAAACTCAGCATCTTTCCGCAATGAGGCTTCACAAAGGATTGAGAAACAAACCAGTCCACCATTTGATCAAAGTTTCCCACAGTTCCCCACTTGTGAGTTGCGCTACGTTGGGGGGTGGGGGTTAATAGGTTCAATTCGCACTTTTGTTTAATTTTTGCTTATTTTAATTATACCGAAATAAATCTAAAAACAAACCCACCAAGTAATAAATAAAGTAAAGTTTGGGATGACTCCAGTAGGGTTTTAGCGTGGAAACCCAATCAGTAGAAAATCACGGAGACTTTTGCAGTATCGAGCGAAATGATACACTATCTTGAAGCAAAATACAATAGACTCTGACTCAGGCTCGCACCCTTTCCACTCTACCAAAGCCTAGTTGTTGAACACCTTTGGCTTTGCGACTCATCCAAACGCTCTCGACTTCAGGTTTATTCCTCAATCCTTGTAGACAAGTTGTGTAGAATACGAAAACTCCTCGAATGATATGTTCCCTTCGTAGCACGATCGAATCCTCCTATCAATGATTTGTAGATCAATGAAAATCAAACCTAGGAACAGAATTTGTCTGAATCTTCAATATGCTTGTACTCCGATCAGAAAGAGAACACCATCCTAATTCCCTCAAGTGTACTATTATGTGATCTCAATGAAAACAAGCACATAGAAAAATCAATATGATTCTCTGTGAAAGCTACTCTCACAAGGCTCTCTCAAGTTGCAAAAATTGTAATCTCAAAAGCTGTGATGAATCACAAGGGAAAGAGAGTATATATAGGTATTAGAGTCCTAACCTAATTTAGAAAAACAGCCACAAGTCGTGCAAGGACTTCTCTCTAGGATTTAACCAAAAAAGGAAAGTTGAATTCTAACAAAACTGAAAGTTTCTTTTTAAAATTCGTAAAGTGCAACTGTCAGAGTAAGTGGGACCGGTTGGACTTTGACAGTTTGCACTCTGGAATTTGTTCATCTGGAATTGGCCAAGTACGACCGGTGGGAAAAAGTTGGACCGGTCGGACTTGTTCGCTTTGTTATTTTAAACATAAAAACCTTAAATGCAAACTAATCCAACTTAAAATAAAATATAACTGTGGAATGTGTCCTCACTCACATACCTTCTCTAATATGATGTTCTCATCGAATCGAAACATGCTTGCACATGTAGTTCCGCTTCCGTCATTGAGACTCGAAGTAAAACAAAAATTACAACTCGACCGGACATGCTTTGACACCGAAATTAGCCAATTACAAAATCATACATCTCACACTAGTTGAATAAATCTACCAACCAAATCCAAACTGCATGAGCTGTACTAGAGTTGGCAGCTTATTATTCAAGGCCATAGTTACACTTGCTGCAGGCCTACCCCCATTCCAAACTAATATGGACCAATACTTTCTGGGAGCTTCAGACCTATAATGTTTCCAGAACGACTTGCAAGAAGTATTTCCATATTTCTACCTTATCCTATCAGGACCAGGTTTCACAGGGACATTAGGAATTTGATCCCAGATCTCAGTAACTCCTTCCTCCATGAAAACTGGTTTAACCCCATCTTTCATTCTGCCGAACAGAGCTGATGAATGCTACCTGGGTGAGATCAAACTGTCTAATAATTCTATGGCCGAAGTGTTGGAATAATGAAGCCTTCACCCCAAGGGTCTAAAAAATAATTTCAAGGAAAGGCCATCACCAACTCAAAATTCAACATTTGCTGCCAAACTCTCTGACTTCTAACATATTTTTTCAAAACACAGAATGTTACTTAGGTCTTCCTATGATTGATAGAAACCTAAAAAAGAAAGACTGCAAGGTTCTGATTGATAAGGTTGCTGCTAATCTCAATGGATGGGGATCCTTAAATTTATCTTTAACTGGTAGGTTGGAGCTCATCAGGTCAGTGATATATCCAATCATTCTCTACTGGTTTAATGCCTTCAAACTTCCAATGACTATTGCTTCTGTTTTAAAAAGGATGATGAGAATTTACATATGGGGGTAGTAAGAATTCTAAGAAGCTGCACTTGTTGAAATGGAAAATGGTTACTAGTACAAAAGCTGAAGGGGGTTTCGGATTTAGAAAAGTGTCTGAAATTGATGAAGCCACTAAATGTAATTTGTTCTGGGACTTCATTCAAGAGAAGACTAGAATGTGGATTCCTTGGGTGAAAAGTCATTACACTCGACATGTGATGCTCTTTCCTAGTGTGTGCACAAAAATGTGTTAATTTTAGAATATAAAAGAAATGTGCAAAGTGGGCATCAACTTTTATAATTTATAAAAGCCACTAAACACTTATACTATGAAGTATAGTGAGAAGGGATCGTCCTTAGGGATTATGGGATGGAATCTAATTCAACATTAGTGGACGTGAGATTGAAAAAGAGTGTGATTGGTGATTAAACTAATGTAAAATTAATAACATGCAATTCAAATTAAAGCTAGTGAAGTAGGGTTTAAGAGATGGAGGAGAGGTCTTAGGGCATAGGAATCACCACTAAGCTCATTCACTAAACAACATGCTTTCAACTAATGGGGAGAAACAATATTGTAATCACAATGTGGCTAATACAAAATGCAATAATAAGCATGGACTATCAAATTCAAGCATGAATTGTCTACCTAACTACAATTACTCTAAGGTGTAGAACAACCCAACAAGATTTAGCATAATCCATCAAACTAATTGACAAGTGTTGCACACATTAATCAAGAGGATAATACAATTTGCAATAATAAGCCATGGACTATCAAAGGCAATAATAAATTGTCTACCTAACAAGAAGTAAACTAGGGTGTAGAACAACCTATCAAGCCTAAGCCTTTTTTCCATCAATTTAATTGAAAATGTATCCAATAAGTACCATGCATAGCCATCACTAAATACAATTAGTAAAGGTATATAGTGTAGAGATTAATTCCCAATCAATTACACATAAGACAACATGCAACCAACATAGAGAATTAATGGATAAAACCTTGGTAGAACCAAGTTCTCATTACACAAGACTATAGCATCAATTTCAATGTATAAATCCCCAAAAGTTGAAAGACAAGAGTTTAGATTACAAGCTTAGGGCTCATCCAAGCCCTAAGAGAGCCCTAAGGAGAAGACTAGCCACTCATGGAGAAGGTGGATGTGGTAGAGAAGAGCCCAAGATCAATCCCCATGACTTGCTTCATCTTCCTCTTCTTCTTGGTTGAAACCCTAGAGAGAGAGTGTGTATGAATTAGAGAGAGAGAGTCCCAAAATTGTATCTAATCCTCCTAATCATTTTCCAAAATGTCCAACCCTTGTCAAAAAGGGCTAATTCCCTTATATAGGTAGCTCAAATGACACCCCAAATGGTTAGACCTTGTGCTCTAGGACCTCCAAATGATTGCACCACGAGCACACCTGAAATCGGGCTTGAATTCTGTTCTGCACGGTTTTCGAGGCAGTTCAATCGATCACACTGTTGGTTCAATCGATTGAAGCATGGCGCATAAATGGGATGAGGACAGAGCTGAGATATTTAAGCAGATAAGGACAAGAATATTTATGAGGATAAGATCGAAACTTACGATCAATCATAGGAAGGTTCAATCGATCGAAGAGGATGGAAATTTTCTGGGGATAAGGACAAGAGCTTCGATCTATCATAGCAGTTGTTTGGAACGATCACAGGTACAATCGATCACACTGGAAGTTAGATCGATCGAAGATGAAATTTTTTGCAACTTTTGCTTCCATTATGCTCTATCTTCTCACCAAAACTGTGGTTGACCTTCCCAAGGCTCTAATTCAGCTTAGTTAGCTCATTTCAACTTTAAGCACCTGAAAAGGGGAAAAATATAAAATATGGCTAAAGCGGGAAAATAAGATAGAATAAGGTCCTAATATACTCAAGATTAGGGGCTTAAATGCACACATTTTAGCGCTTATCAACATGAATTTGTGTGGTCTTGTGCAATCAAGCAAAAACATCCATGTGATATTTTTGATGCATTGTCTTAATGAACTTGTCTGTGCCAAAAGGGGCATTGTGCTGCATGATATTCTGCAAGATTTTTTTGAGCCAACATATCATACAGTAAAAGTTTCATCTGAAACCCCTGGTAGCCATGGTGTTACATGATACTATGCAGGTGTTCCTTTTGAGCTAAAATATCACAAAGTGTAGCAGTTACATGTGGAAAATGCCTGATGCACATGGATGTCCATGAATTTGAAGCAAAGTGATTGACATTCTTAAAAGTTGAGTTCTTCCCACTGGTTTGGATTGTATTGCAAAAATACGAGAATGAAAAAATAACTGCATTAATTACCTTTTAACTGATGGGGAAAAAGAAGGATATATTACTTTCAAGAGAATTTTTATAACATTTTAATATGATTGTCTTCAATTTCTACTACAATTCAAATTTTATATAATGTGCTATGCATTCCTGAATGGCAAAAAACTTATTTGTTCTCAGGTCAGCGTCCATTACATTGGCAAGCTGAAGAAGAATGGGAAAATATTTGACTCTAATGTTGGCAGAGCACCATTTAAGTTTCGCCTAGGTATTGTCATAAAGACAAACATATGGACAAGCAGGATTCTGATTGGTTATTTGCTTTTAACTGTTTCATATTGTTCTTACAGGTGTAGGAGAAGTTATAAAGGGATGGGACGTCGGGGTTAACGGTAATTTTATGATGGCTAACACTTGGTTTTTGATTAATTGTTTCATATGTTCTTCGAACTTATAGCAATTTTATGTATATCTAACAACCAGGCATGCGTGTTGGAGACAAGAGAAGACTAACTATTCCACCTGCTATGGGGTATGCAGTTTTTATTATTTCTCTTGAACATGTGTTATAGTTAGATTCGGAGCAAAAAGACTAACGATTCCACCATCCATGGTGTATGCAGTTTTTATTATTTCTCTTAAACACATATTATAGTTAGGTTCGTAGCAAAAAGACTAACGATTCCACCATCCATGGTGTATGCAGTTGCTATTGTTTCCCATAAACCCATGTTGTAGGTGGTTTTGTAGCGCTTGGGGACCAAACTCTTGTATAGCATTTATATATGTTGTAGGTGGTTTTGTAGCGCTTGGGGACCAAACTCTTGTATAGCATTTATATATCAATTTTGGCCCCCAATCTTTTTTGTTTTCCTTCTTTTGTACAAATGGGAACTCTCTCTTAGTGGAGGACATGGCAAAATTAAATAATTCCATTTGTATTAATTAACATGGCATGATTTAGTAGGGACCAGTTTATCCTTCATTTTGGGATGTTTCTTGAGTATACAGGGGATGCCCAAATTCATATTGTTCTGTGTGTGTATGTGTGTAAATTTGTGCATGTATATGTATATAGTGCTTATTTCCTCTTAGAAAATTTAATTTTTTATTGCAGATATGGAGCTCGTGGTGCTGGTGGGGCTATACCACCAAATTCATGGCTGCTCTTTGATGTTGAGTTAGTAGATGTTCGTTGATTGACCTCCTCTAATGTTGTGAGATATTCCCTCTTATCTTCTCTATTGCTCCTTTTTGGAATGCATTTATGCTTGTGCAAACCAGGAGGTGGAAGCATGGATCTTGAACACTCTCCTTTTTGTTGTTTTATATGAGAAAAACGGTTTTGATTTTTGCCACATTTGGAATTGTTTTTAGAATAATGGTCATGTGACTATGTGGGCAAGGGTTTTTGAGAAAAAGGCTGGTGCATTTATGCAGCCAAATGGTATTAGGAGTTTATCTGTGCGTGTTGCAATAGAGAATTTTCCTAGAAGTGAGAAGAGAAATTGTGCTGATTAAATTTTGGAGGAGCTCTTTTGCAAAGAAAGATCCAATCTTTGATACCAATATATATGCGTCGCTAAATCCTGATTAAGCACTTTGTTTATTAGCGGAAATGCTAGTTTGTTATACTGGCGTATCTGTGGTTTGGGCTCGTTTACTCTATTTCCAGTTAAATTTTATATGTGCCACATTCTTTGTTTGAAATGTGTTAATTCCCATTGAAGAGGGGTGGAAAAAAAGAAAGAAAGGTGGATAACAAGTCTGTCACAACTTCATAGGCAGAATGATTTAAACCAAAATAAAATATGCAAATGCTCAAAAGCCTAATGAAGATCTGTTTGGTGCTTGACTATTAGTCTTTTACTTAGTTTTACTGTGTTTATAGTGTGTCCAACAGCACCATCACCATGCACTCCTTTCTCTACAACCATGCTAATCAAATTAGGCATGACACTTTGGAGTACTTATGGTTGTTTCAAAAAAAAAATTACTGGGATTTAAGGTTTGTCTGGATGTAAATTTTAGATTTTTTTTTTTTTTTTTTGGGGTACACTTTTGGAGTACTTATGGTTATTTTTAAAAAAATTTACTGGGATTTAAGCTCTGTTTGTTTGGACGTAAATTATCTTTCAGAAAATATTTTTTTATATTTATGGTGTTTGATCTCAACCTGGACGTAGACTTGACAAAGTAAAAATGTTTTACCTGAAAAGGAAAAATATTTTCGAAAAAGAATATTTTACATCAAAACAAAGGAGCCTTAAGGTTTGTTTGGATGTAAAAATATTTTTAGAATTTTTTATTTTTTATTTTATTTTCTGGTGTTTGGTTGTGGTAAAATATTTATGTAGAAAAAAATATTAAAATTTATAAAATAATTTATTTATTAATTTTCTGTATTCGATCTTAATCTAGACAACAAATACTAAAATATATATATATATATATATTACCTGAAAATGAGTGTGGGATGGGGGATTGCATACAAGTGATTGTGGATTATGGTGCCTGAGACCACATCTTTGACAAAAATAAATTAACTAATTAAAAAGAAAGATTATTAAATTAGAAGAGACTAGAAGGATTAATAAATTATAAGAGATGAGATCATGAGAGGGAATGCGTCCCACCTATTATTTGATGCCTTTCTGCTTATGAAAAATAACGCCAGCTTCATTCGTAATTCCATCCAAAAAAGGGATTTCAAAAATTCATTCTCTTCTATTAAATTTTCATCAAATTTTGCCAAGATGAATGAATAAGTTTATACAATGTGATAAAAATATTCCTGCCAAAAAAACAAAATCCTAAACCTAAATAAGGACTAAAATTATTTTCTTTCAACAATTCATACCAAATTTTGATGTAAATGAGATGGACGTATTAAACCGGGTTTATAAGGATATAATAGGAGGTCAAAAACACCTACTCTACAAAATAATGACCGGTTCGCATAAAGTTTAGTAACTTTAGTCGCAGTTTGCAAAGTATCACATTTGCTTTTATTTCATTTATTTATTTATTTGAATGGTAAATTATTATTATTATTATTATTATTTTCATTGGCAAAACAAATCACATTTGCTTTTAGAAAAAGAAGGGAAAAATAAATGGCGTTCAATTGTTTGAATTTTTTTTTTTTAAAAAAGTCGTCGTAATATGGCTATGATTTTTTTTGTTTTAATAATATTTTAAAAATTTTATTTATATATTTTTTATAACCTTCCAAATATTTTATTATTATTATTATTTGGAATACCATTTATATTAAATAATAAACGGAAACAAAAATCAGTTGCTGAATAAACTAAGTAATCTATTTTTTTTTTTTTTTAAATGATTTGGTTGACTTATTATTTACTCACCAAACAGTTACTGAAGTTCGTTTAAAAGGAAACAATGGTTCTGGTTCTTTCTATAAAATAAACACCACTATATTTTCATTTAAAATGACAAAATAGTCTTTAATTCATCTATTGCACCACTGGTAGGTCTCCTTTTTTTTTTTTTTTTTTTTTTTTGTTTTTTGGCTTGACAATAAAAACGCTATACAGCATCTACAAGAAACAGATCAAACTACACACAAACCACAACCAAAGCAAACAAACGGAACAACCCAACAACAAAGGACCACCAGACCCGCAAAAATAAGACGTCCAACAAGAAACATTGCCTAGCTGATGTGACATACATAGTGCAACACAAGTATGAGGAGGCACAGAGAACAAGATTGGGTTGAAAATGTGGGCTAACAGATCATTAGGCCCATGTGACTGCCCCACCAGCCCATCCATGGATTGGACATCAACAATAGAAGCCAAAAAGAAGGATATGAACGCACGATAACATACTGGATAAGCACCCTTCTCACGCACCATCACCGGCAAACACCATGAGAGCATCATAATCGGAAAACACCATGAGAGCGATACAACAGCCCCAACCACCAAGACTGCAACGAGTGATAATTATCCCACAAAGGGATTTGAGAAATAATTGCATGGCCTAAAGAAATCCAGTGAGGAGCAGGTGTTTCCTTGAAGGAATTATTCAGAGGGTTCCCAATATTGATAGCATCATGGCCATGAACAAACAGAAAATAGATTGTTAAGCACCAAAGCTAAAGGTCTTCAGCCTCCTCGAGGCTTAAATTGCTGATGCCATTGTGGTGGTGGCGGGGTGGCTTCCATGCCCCATAGACCAAGGTTACCGATGGATCCTCATCGCCAACCACTGATGGACCCAAGGAAACCCAATCCAACGCTGAGGCGAGACAGACACCAACACAACACACAGAGAAATTAGAACGAAAAAAGAAACAACAAACACAATACCTGGATCAAAGGGGAAGAGCGTAGCACCAGCCTATGGATGTCACGACCTAGACTTGGCTCAGTATTAGCCTCATGGGCCAGATCATAGAAACAGTTAGCAGTAAGATGACTACTCATCAGTCGACCCAACATCAATTGGGCTTGTATGTGGACTAACCCAACACCAAGTAAGTGACAGGTATTTGGTTTAGCAGAGGCCGCAAAGTGGGACACAAAACTTAGACCATCTTATCAGCAGGCCCATTTGGCAGCACCACCAACTCAACATATAAAGGTGGACTCGGTGGGCCTACCAGACAAGAACATTCTTGCCGGACGTTGCCTCTACACGCCACAAATTTAGGCATGATTAGCTTTGACATGTGAGGTAAAAGCTGACACGTCACCGTATACCACGCAAATTGAGGACTGCTTGGAGGCGAAGGAAAATGTGCCGGAAGGGATTGAGAAGTCGCCGGCAAAACCTCATCATCGAATTCTCCATCAACAAAAGAGAAGCACCGCCAATCATGTCGAGAAGCAAAAAAACCACTCCCCGGAATCGCACTGATCATATTAATGAGTCTGTCACAACCCATCCACAGATCATAGGTCACGGTGGCTAAAAAGAACAAAAGGAAAGTCAGATTGTAAAGATAAACAAAGAACTTAAGAACATTACCTGGATCGAATGGGAATAACATCCGATATGAATCATAAATCCTTTCAACTCATAAAAACCCCGATTTTACCACCCTCAACGGACAGGTGCCCAACCAAGCAAATAAATCTACAGGAATGGCACAACACACACCAGAAACACAACTTGTGATGTTTTCATTTTTCGCCATTTTTCATTTTTCGGGAATTTTGTTGATGCAAGGGCATTTTCGTCTTTTCACATTTGGCATACCGAACACCGTGGGGTGTGTCGATGAGTTGTTTGGAGCATTCCAGTGAGTTTAGGGCTCTTAGAAATGCAAGGTTGGTCATTTTTGCATTTTTTCATTTTTAGGACCGGACAGAACCGTGTGGAACCTGCTGCCTGTATTGTCGAGTACGGAGATTTTAGTTGGGTTCATTTGCATCTCATATATTTTATTTAATGTGTTTCATGTGGTATTTTATATGATTGTGTACATATTTATTTGTGTGGTGCATAAGAAAAGTTAAAAATTGAAAATGTTGGTGGTGAGACCCACCACTCACATGCTTGGTGATCAAAGAGACCACATTTGGTCCCTTATTTTCTCTTACCTCACTCGTTTCCTCTTTCCCTCACATTTCTTCATTTTTTCTTTTTCTTCTCAATAAAAACTTCAAGTCTTGATTCCTCCTTCATTACTTGGAATTTTTGGAACCCGTTTGCGGCAATTCGAAAAGCATGGCGAGATCTTCACATCCATATAAGCAATTTCAATTTTAGTGCACTCTAGAGATTCCAGTTTTTAGACCCATTTTGGGGGTTTTTCATCCTCCTTGAGGTAAGGGTCTCTAATTCATGTTTTTCTTGTGCCTTTGTGAATTAATTTCTTGTTAATTGTTGTTATCATGTTTAGTTGGTGTAAATTTCCCCTAAAATGATTTAATTGTGGTGTACCAAGTTCATGATTATATGTATTAGTTGATTTGTATGAAAAGCATGTCCAAGTATTGATTTTCTATACCTATTGTGTTGTTAACTTGCTAGAAATGAATACATGTGTTATTTTCTTAGAATTTCTTGTAAAACATGCTTAATTGTGTTGTATGAAAATCCCTTATTATCATAGCATTGAAAGTATGAGACATATATGGATTTCATTGGGTATGAATGAAGGGAAATGATTTGAAAAAAAAGAAAAAAAAGGGGTTTTTGGGAAGAATTTTGATAAAATGGTTTTGAGAAAACCTGGTCGCCACAGAGTCACCAAAGGGCAGTGGTGTTAATATAATCTAGAGGGAATTAGGAAAATCACCTTAGCGTGGTTAAGCTAGATGGGCCCTAAATGACGCCGCGGAGGTACTAAGGGTCAGGGACAGTAGTTAATCATTCTCTCGTGTCGCTGCAGAGTCACCAAAGGACATGTTATATTAACAGTTTGAAAGGTGCTGGATTTGGATTTTGAAAATGGGGAGCGACATACATAGCATTGCATTTCATGGCACAGCATTGTTTACTTTGAATTTGGAATTGATGTTGTATTCCTTCCTGGCATAGTATGACCCTTATCCTCTTTTTCTATTCATTGTTTGGATTCACTGGGCCACAAGAAGTGTGTCTTAGGCACCAACTACTGAG